TTGAAATATGTAGGTGGACTAAAATGTTTTAGAGATAGTCTCCATTCTTACAGGTTGCAGGGGAGGGTTCTGGTTCTCTCATTCTGACCATAAGGGTAACAGAATCCTGCTTTCCTATGATACAATAAAAGAAAAGAAGTCCACTAGGTTGTATGAGAGAGTAGTGCAATATTGATTTAAAAAATCTAATACTAATTCAAATGAATATTTGTTGGACTGCTCTTTTGTTTTAGTTACCTATTATAGGTGATTTGCAGAGCTCAAAGATAAATCAAGATAGTTAAACATAGAACAGAAAATTATTTACAGTTTAATGATGGGAATAGCCTTGAGGAGGAAGGGAGGGGGTTACAAAGTGGATCCAGTATAAACATAATATCTTTCTGAGGATAGACTGGTTTTGATGGTTTTGGAAACTAAATAAATAATGCTGCTTCTTAATGAATAATGAGGAAATGACACCTTTTCCTTATCTGTGGAAGGCAAGAGAGATGCCTTTGTAATCTAAATTGCAGAGAGTAGTCATCTTCTGTATTTGAGTGGTAGACTCTCCTGTCCTTGGTGAGTGAGATCTTTGGCCAAGGTTGTACTCAACTGTTGAATCAGTGTAACTGATTATGAAAGTGATGCTAAAGGTTTGTATTGCTTGAGAAGATACTGGAGGAAGAATCGCCAGGGCTCTTCATCATCTTGCTTAAGCCAAATAACTGAAAGATGTCTTCCTTCCAACTTCAGTATCCTGTGAGCCTGTGAGATGTTCTGTGGTGAGAATTAGAGCTAAATATAGTCTTAGGCTTTAGTGAATATGGATGTGCTTGGGCAAATTCTTGTTCTTCAATAATAGTTATGAATATTCTTGAAGATCCATGCTTGGGAATGCTTCATCATGAGAACTCTTAAGAAAGAAATTGTCTTAGATGATGTGGACATTGTTTAAATAGTGCTGGGTGTTCTCTTGAGGGAGAGCTTTGAAAGGAAAATTTCACAGGTGGTGCAGAGTTGGGTCCCCTCAGTTCTGGAGTGGCTGGGTGGGGCCTGAGGCTGCTGAACCACCTAGGCTAGCCTCTGGACTATCTATGATTCTAATTTTCCCAGTGTGTTGAACAAATGTCCTCATTTTCTCTATAAGCCAGAACATGGAAAAAGTTAGGCCGCGTATAGCAGTGCTTTGGAAATATTTGGGGATGTGGACAGATACTGTTTTTCCTATGTCAGTCAGGCTTCTTGGTTGCAAACAACAGAAACTTAAGTCTAGCTAATTTAATCCATACTTGAGTTGTCTGTCCATGTCAAATTTATTTCCAGATCAATAAACATTTGAAAGCATTTTCTACATAAGGCACTGAACTTCAGTTTAAGTCTATAACGACAATTATTTCTCATAGGAGAGAAGATATTTTCTCCTGCCATACAGAAAATTTAAGACGTTTGATCTTGCCTGGTTTCTGTCCTGTTGTAGTTAAAGGGGAGGATCTGTTTATCTCTGCTCATTGGTTCAGAATTACTTATTTGGTGACAGTCTCACTAAAGGGGGAATTATAATCACAAATTTATAATCTTTCTTGATCAATTAATTTAAACCCTGTTACATAAATATTGTAATTCCTATTAGCTTCTAACAATCTCCACAGGCCAGTTACAGTGTCACTTCTTTCCATAGACCCTTTTCTTTCTATGGAAGTTGTAAAAAGTTCATATTGGTCTCATATCCTATTTTTTTGTAGTCTTGTCATTAAAAATATTTGAATACAGGTGGCAGGTTGCCTTTAGGGTTCAGTTTTTGGGCCCTTGAGAAAGAGAAGTAAAGATAAGAAAGACCAGTCCTAAAGAGGTTCTTAGAGAAAGACGGGAGAAGAGATATTTAAACAAACAAACAAGCAAGCAAACAAACATAAAAGGCCCATGTGTACAGATCTACAGATAGCCAGAAATATCCTCTCTAAAGTATTGTAAATGTTGCCTCTTTCTATCCTTCCCTGAATCTCACTTTTGATTGACTTCCTGGGTTGTTCCTTTTCTCTTCAAGACTGCCTTGTGAGTTCATTAAACTGATCATCATCATTTGGCAAGGGGGGCCAGGGCGAGGTAGGAGCCCTACTAAGAATAGGCCATGTAGCTTAATCTTACCCTAAACCCCCTGGCACCAGTTTTAGGCTCTGTTATCTCTGCTTAAAGAGGCTTTGAAGTTTTATAGAATTATTTAGTGGATTTTGTTAGTGAAAGATCAGAGTATATACTTGGATATTTTTCAAGATAGTTGCACATGTTTATGAAGTATAGTGTATTTAAATCTAATTTATGCAAGTTAAGTCACATTCTATTACACGTGTTTGTTTAATTTTGCAGTAAATACCCTTTGAAGACCCCAATTTATTTGTGTTTAAATGTGAACGCAATGCTGAAAAAGTCTCTCTGTTTATGTGTGTGTATTATACATAAATATTTATTTTTAATAAAACAGTTTTTGTTTTAATTGGAGTAATATATTTTGTTTGCCTGCAGATATTAGCTACTGTTCCCTCAAATTAGGCTTTTAAAGAAAGGGCTAATTTTGGTACTTTTCTTTGGATAGTTTCACAATGATTCTTTGTTGTGTTATTGTCCTGCATTTGATCCAAGTCTTTCATCAGTTTTTCACCATGTAGAGATCATGGATGATATACTGGGTTGTTTCAGACATATACCACATCCCAGGTGTTGTTCAGCTTTTGGTTTGGGGTGTTTTTGGGGACTGAGCTTGTTCTAATTTATGATTGCACAGGTCCTTAACTGAATGTTAAATCTTTACAAGCTTTGCTGTATAAAGTAAAATTCATAGGTTCCAGGGATCAGGACCTGATATGTTTGGGATCCATCATTCAGTCCACTACAGTCTGCCTTCTGGCCCCCAAATATTCCATCTGCCTCCTGTTCAAAATGCATTCACCCTAGAGGTCAAATCCAGATATCACCTAGACTCTAGTGTGATCCATTTTGACACAAAATTTCTCTCTACCTGTGGACCTAGAAATGAGAAGACAAGTTACCTGTTTCCAAAATACAATGGTGGGTCAGGCATTGGGAAAAATTGATGAGAGAATAGGAGAAAATCGAAGGATAAAAGGAGTCAGCAGTCCCAAGCAACTTCAGAGTTCAGCAGGGCAAATTCCATCAGGTTTCAAGACCTGAGAATAATCCTCTGCCTTTAAATATTTCCTAAATACAAATTTCCAAGAAGTAAAGGAGCATATTTATTTAATTTTTTTTTTGTATATTGCCCTTTCACCAGAAAAGATATATCAATGTACTGTTCCACCAGCAATGTGTTGTGCTAGTGGTTATTTTACCTAGTCATTTAGATCAATATGTTATCATTAAAACATATATATGTATATTTATAAAATAAAACCTAAATGTTGCTAACCTCACATGAACAAAAATGTTAACTGTTTTTTTTGTGTTAGTGCCTTTTCATGATTCTTTCATAATTTTGCTTTACTATTTATACCCTTGCCAATTTTTAAATTTTTCTTGATTTGTGTGATATCTCTATATAGAGTTTCTGATTTTGTATTGCAAGAATTTTCCCAAGTTTTATTTTAATTTTTTAGTTTTTTTGTAATATACAGAATTTGCCTTTTAATAGTCAAATCTGCCAGTTTTCATAGAGTACCTTCTGCATATATAGTTTGAATGTCCTTCCTTACTATACTTGCTGTCAAATAAAAATGATTTCAAAGTGAATATTTCGTACCTGAAAGGCAAAATATGGGGACAATTCATGTCATACTATGCTTATTTCTGAAAATGGTGTGTCTGGTCTTTGGAATTCACATCCTGTAGAAAGCCCACCCCTGAGACCAGGAACCAGGGCCAGGAGCTCTGTGCTCTTCCTTGCAGCCTTGTCCACCTCTCGTGGCTTACTCCTATGCTCAGAAGGTACCAGGCTGAGCCGGGTGAGCTCTCTAATACATCCTTTGAGTCCACTGAGGTGGGAAAGTATTTGGGTTGCAGAGATGTTGTTTGAGTAGGTAGATAAATGTGTAATAAACTATGAAGAGTGAATGCTGGAAAAAGGATCCTTAAAATGTACATGAAACCAAGATGGCCTTAAAAATGCTTAAAAACCAAACCCTGCTACAAAGTTTCCTAAAATCCTAATATACTAAAATCCTAAAGAAATTATTTACAAGATTTATTGACATAGAAAGGAATATGGTCAGTGGACAAATCATGTTACAAAGCATTATTATGGTCTGATTTTAATTATAGAGAAAAAATATCTGTATTATATAGAAAATAGTCTATAATAGACAATGATTAGATTGGGGTACTTGGACTTGTAAATGTATATAAATATTTTTTAAAACTCTAAATATTTTATAAGTGTATATACAATATTTTATATATTTTTATTTTACCTTTCCTAAATTTTCTGTTTTTTTTTAATAATGGATATTGTGTGCGTAATACAAAACATTGATATCTCCTTCCTCTCCATCTCAATAAAATTGCTCCAAATAAGTGATTATTTGGCATACCTTTGATACTAATTTGAAGTTGACTCTACCATGATACTTTTTAGCCCATTATGGTTGCAAATGCTTCAGGTTCTGTACTCAGTTGTATACATTACATATGAGAGAAAATGATATTTGTTAAACTAAGGCATTAAAGTATAACACTAGATAGGTAGTAGTTTAGCATTTATCAGTATAACTGCTGAGGTAAATGATTTTGGTGTTAGTGGTAGATAGTGGTGTTTTCATTTGCAAAAGTGTTAGCATCTTTGAACAATATAATCTTGAAGTACTGAGCATTGCTTTCTATTTTACTGGAGCATAATGAATGATATTTACTTTTTCTTAATTCTGAGAAATTCTTTACTGCCTTTCAAAATACTATATTAACTAGACATTAAAGCAAATTTTTCTTCCTTTTGGTTTGAATTTCTTATGCCCTCAGATTAGTACCTGTTTTATAGTACTTGAAACTTTTACTTTTTATTTGTTATTTCTTAGGTAAACGCAAAGCACTGAAGTTGAATTTTGCAAATCCACCTTTCAAATCTACAGCAAGGTTTACTCTGAATCCCAATCCTACAGGAGTTCAAAACCCACACATGTGAGTATATCTGTAATCAAATAAATCAAATAAAAGGCTCAACTCAAGCAAAGGTTTAAAAGTTATTGTATTTTATGAATTTTTTTTGAGTTGAGAGGTTGGTATTTCCATTATTTGTATGGGCCATTTGAGATATTACCATTTGAACTTAAATAGAAAGCTATTTGTGCTATAGTCTGAAGTAGGTAAGCACAATTTTCCTTTTTAAAGTTTACTTGAAGGGAAAAATAGCTGATGATTCAGATATGTTTATATCTTTTTAATTTCTATATCACTGATATAAGAATATTGTTTATATCTTTCTTTCTGGATTCCCAGTTAAATTGTAAGTGGTATTTAGGAAATTTAATTCTCTCCTGTAGATCTGCACTGATTATCCCCATGACTGGGTAACAAAAAAGAACCCATTCTTAGTAAACCTACTTCCTGTAAGAGTTCCACATCACAGTCAATTGAAACAATGTGTATATGTCAGTGTACAGATGTCAGTGATTAATTTTTAAATTTGTTCCCTGAATATTTTTGTTATAAAATAGATATAACATCTCACTGAAAGTATGAGAAATATCTGTTAATTTAAAATAATATCTTCAGAATAATATTTTATAGAAATCTTTGATTGAATTGCTGTGTTAATAGATAATGCCTTTCCCCAGAAAAACCTGTCGTGAACAGGGTCAAAAGCAGTGGCTTTACATTTATATTTATGTCCATAAAAATAATTTTCACCCAGTTCTGGTATTGAGAAGTATAAAGCAAATGGTAAAAAGTAAGGTTAAAAAAGCTGTCAGAATAACTTTATTTTATAGTTTTCAGTAATTTCTCAACAATTTATATTTATACCTTATTAGACTACAGGTATATTTGTTCCTCCCAAAGAGGCATTTTTGTTGCTGTTTTCTTCGTTTTTGATGTTAGGTATCCATTGTATTTATAAACAGTAACAAATAGGTAGAAGAAAGAATGTCTTGCAATAGGAATGCTGAAAATATTTTAACAGCAGTGTCTAGAAGGGAATAAATGTGTATGTATGTGTATGTGCTCTTACACTTCCACCTATAACCTTAAAGGGAATGAAAGATATTTTAAATGAAAACTGCAGTAACAGTTTATTTAAATGGGAATAGTATCTGTCAGTTTAATTAGACTGATGTTCATAATGAGATTTCTTGTCAGACCTCAGCCTGGAGTCCCAGCCTTTGTACCTTCTCTGAAACCTCAAGTGGGGGCCATAGTATTGAGGAAGGAAACTCTTAGTACTTCTTAATTAGTCAGAGCCTCAGCAGCAAGGAAACACTCTCCAAAGAATTTCCTTCCTCCTTTCCTAGAATTTTTAGTGAAAGCTAGTACAAAACTAATTCTTGAACATAGTCTACTTACCTTGGTTGCTAGCTGAACCATATATTTGAAGTCTAAGAAAGATGTGCAGTAATTGCCAAACTTGAGATGTTTATTTTTCATCTTTTCTTTTATTTTTTAAAGCCCCCTTGGACAAAGAGAAAGACAACTTGAACTGGAAAAACATTTACATATATTTGAACTCTCTTTCCTCAAGAGTTTCTTCATATAGAGAGAATTTGTGGACAGAATCTTTTTATCTCATTTTTTTTAGGATAGAAATAGTGGGGAAAAGCTTTCTTACAAAATTTGAGTCAATTAGGTCCTTTTTTTGGTTTGTTTTTGTTTCTGTTAAACCAACTTCATAATAATCCTATAACCAGCTAGGCTTCTTATCCTTTGTCTCTTCCCAGGAGGTATTAAAAGTTTGAGAAGACAAAGTAATAGGCATTACTGCTGGATAGACTCTTGAGTATTTGATTTCGGTGTGTAAAATCTTAGACCCATACTTTGAATTTTGTTACTGCACTGGTTTATTATCTGGATCCAAATAGCAACGCCCTGCGTAGACATTGGTTGAAGACAGCTACATAGGGCAGCACATCCCCTAGGCAGTCCACCCTCCCGTCCCTTTCATAAAAGAATGTTTTGTATTCTTCCTCTGAATTGTGTGCTATTAGGCACTGAAAACCACTGCTGGTACTGTTTAGAGTAAGTGGTTTGCAGTTAGAAAATATTACTTGAAGTTTGTGGGGGTTTGAAGAAGATATCCTGTGTTATTTATATATGTTTCCTCCTTCTAAAATTTCTTTGCACTTTAGTTGCAGATATAAATACAAAACTCTGATGAATTAAGGAAAATATAAGATGGACCATATAAGCAATGAACGAAGTTAAGCTGCATCCTGGGAACAGGTTTCTGATTATCAGGTGCTTGATGTCTCCTGGCTGCAAGGTTCTGTGAGAGACTGAAAAAAAAAAAAAACACAAAGCACCATGTCCTTATTTTCTGTGAACCAACAGTTTAAACAAATTCTAAGAAATGATAGTTTCTTAGAATGTTTCTTTTTCATCTGAATTGGCTGTAGCAATTCAGAAGTAAGGAATAAGGTAATACAGATTGAATGTCAAATGAATGGTGCAGCAGGGTTGGGGAGAAGATTACTTTAGATAAAACAGTTTGGTGAAGAGTTTCATGAAACAAGATTTGAATTGGATTTCGAAAGACAAGAGAATTGATAGAGAATAGAGAGAGAGGTGGAGAGAATGGAGGATGGCATTCTGGTGAGTGTAGTATAAAACTATGTAATTGTAGCAGAGATGTTACTTATATATTACCTATTTCTGTCTCTAATTGGAAATGTTCAGCATTTTTTTCTTTCTTCTTGTATTCTGTAATTATATGAGGAAATGCTTAGGTTCAGAAAATTTTTCTCTGTGTACTGGAAGAACTGTTTCAGTTTGAAGATTTATGTATCTGTTCCTGAGAAAATTTCTGCTGCTTTTCTTTTTTTAATAGATTCTTTTTATGTTTTTCCTATTCTCTCTTCTTGAAATGTGTGTTATTTGGATGTTGGACATCTTGAATTTTCTGGGTCTTTGACTTTTCTTTTGTATTTGCATATCTTTTCTTTTTCTCTTTATACTCTGGGAGATTTCCTTTATTTTCTGACTCTAATATAGAACATTCTATTTTGATTTTAATTTCCAAGAGTTGATTGTGGCTTATTCTTAGTATCCTATTCTTAATTTCGGTCTTATAATTCTTGATTATAGATAGTTGAGGATGAGGAAATTAGAAGACCAATTGGAAGCTCTGGTTATTGATGGTCCACTGGAGCTTGCCTTTAATTTTCTGTTAATGGCTTGAGAGCTGGCTATCAGGCCTTCAGTATTCTAGATGCCAGAATAGTAAGTAGGACCAGTAGTCAACCTAGGAGGCCTGATTCTTTCCAAATAGTATGTTTATTTTCTTTAGAGACATGTTCTTTTTTAAAGAGTTTAGTTATATTTAGACAGAGGGGAAGGGAGGAAGAAAGAGAGGGAAACATCAACATGTGGTTGCCTTCTGTGCGCCCCCTACTGGAGACCTGCCCAGTGCGACCAGTCGTGTGCCCTGACTAGGAATCAAACCAGTGACCTTGCCATTAGCAGGCCAATGCACAATCCACTGAGTCATACCAGCCAGGGCAGTCTTTTATTATTACTATTTTGAGGGGAGGGGGAAGAGGAAAGGAGGAACTGACTAGACCTTTCTTCTAGAAAGGATTTTAATATTCATCTGTTTCTAGGCCTTCATACCTTCCAACTATGGATCTTCTCTAAAGTTCTGTTGGGACCATTATTTATCTCTCATTTCTGCTGTGTGCTCCTTCCCATCATGTGTTATAGACTGTAGTTTTCTTCATTACTATTTTTTTTAAACTTTTAATTATGGAAAGTTGCAAATATATACAAAGCTAGAGAGTGGCAGATGAATCTGTATGTATTTATCCATCAGCTTTAGCAGTGTCATCAGTTAATGTGGCCAGTATTGTTTCTCTCTGTTCCTCAATTCCCTCTGCCCCCTTAGTTTTAACCAAATTTTAGACATATTATTCCATTTATTAATATTTTAGGGTGTATTTCTAAAAGATAAGGACTCTTTAAAAAAACATAACTACAATACCATTATTACATCTCATAGAATAAGTAATTTTTTAGTATCATCAAATAAATATATTATTGTACTTCAGCTTTTTTTTTTTTTAATAGTTTGAAGCAGGATGTTAACAGAGTCCTACGATGCACCTGGCTGGTAAGCCTGAAATCAGAGTCCCTTCTTGTGGAATTGATCAGCTTTTGCTTCGTTTACACATTTTTGTCTGCTGTTAGGCATTCAGAAAATTTGTTCAAATCTTTCAGTTTCTCATTACTTTCTTTTAAAAAAATCATTCTTTTTATGTAAGTCCTTGGAGAATGAGGGGAGAACCGGAACAGGAAACCTTTGTTTTTAATTACCATTGGTTAAAATTATCATATACATTTCTAACATATAAAAAATGAACATTATAGAGACTTTTGTTCCTACTACCTAAATGTAACAGATATTAACATTTTGTCCCTTGGCTCTTTAAATGAAAGATTAAGCAGTAAAACTAAAGAGTAAAAGGAAAAACTGAAGAAAACTATGTGGCTACCTTTTAAATTTCCATCAGGATTGGATTAGACTAGGCATTCTAAGTCTTTTTATTACCCCAGAATTTTTTTTTAAAAATGATTGTGGCAGGCTTATGCTGAAGTCATGTTCTATATATAAATTTGACATGAACAGTAGTAGATTTTCTGCTATATTCTGTGCTTTTGTCATGATGTCTAATGTGTGAATGCTCTCAGTGTACTGAATCATTTAGAATGCACCAAATACAATCATTACTCTGAAAGAATGGCTCCTTTATCTTTACAATGTATCAGAATTGTACAAGAAGAAATACTAGAGTAAAAGCTAACATTGGAAATGTATAATGATACATAGAGATACATTTAGAGGCGTAAGTGAAACATTTTGGAACCATATGTTCTAAGTTTAAGGGAATGCCTTTGTTGAGACCTCTAGTATCTCAATTATCTTTATTACATTTGAGCAGAAAAAGGCTCAGTTGTACTATAGAACTACTAGAATT